CCTTGGACTGGTGAGATATATTTGTTCACCCTTTGCCTCTGGGCTAAGCACACAGCTGTTCTGACCAGCAGAGCACATAGAAGTGACCTGGTGCCCGTTTCAGTCCTACATTTTAAAAGAACCTTCAGCTTCCACCTCCTGCTTCTTGGAACCCAGCCGCCACAGGGAGAAGAAATCCAAGCAGCCACACGGACAGGCCCACTTCCAAGAGAACTGAGGTGATCTCCAGTCTACAGCCAGCACTGATTTGCCAGCCCTGTGATTAAGCCCGTTTGGAAGTGGATCTTCCAGTTGCAGTCACAGGTCTTTCCCCTTGAACTCTGCCCAAATTGCAAAATCAGGAGCAAATAAGATTGTCATTTGAAGTCTCTAAATTTGAGAGCAGTTTGTTACACAGCCAAAGAGCCTCTTAAATCAATTTTTCAAATTCTACATTTATAAAAAAGGGAAAGAGAGAGAAGAGGCAAGGTGTTCATTCATCAAACATTCCTAGAACACCTACTATGTGCCAGACTCTGACAGGTCTTAACACTGCCCTTCTGGTGCTTATCATCTGTGGCTAAGACAGACATTACACACCTCACCACAATGAAGTGGGATTCTATAGAAACAGAGGAGGTGAAGAGGTATAACGGGGAGTGGGCATACTAGGTGATGTCATAGGCCCTTTAGATTCTGATACCGTGTAACTTGACTAAAAAGAGTAAGTACATCTGTGAGATGGACACTTAGAGATATATATACAAGATAATCTATCTAGAGAGCAATTTTCTCCCATATAATCTACTTCTTAATTGGAGTATCAGTGAAGATGTGGGGTTTCAGTAGCTACCCAACAAGTAAATGGTGAAAGCAGGGAGTTGCCTCTATAACCTATATTCAGGAGTGGAATAATCTTATGAAAGAGGCTTTGAATAATGTGATGAGGAGAGAGTTAGGGAAATACAATTTCCAGGGCAACTAAGGTTTCAAAATAAATCGTGATGGGAGAATTTTACCTGTTCATTGTTTAATATTTAAAAGACAAAATATAGGTTAATTGCTTCGAACAAAGTATTCTTTGCGTTAGGAAAATAATTTTTTTTCATTCCCAGTGGTTTTCATGATTGCCAGGAAAGAACAAACTCTTTTTTCCCCCCTCAGGAATTTAAAGAATGTTTTGCTCATTGTGATTTTCAAGATAACTAAGAACGCTTACAAAATAAATCCAAAATATCAGAACAATAACAATGATTTGCATTTCAACATTAAATTCATATTTCATGCAGTAATATTATAGGAGCTTTTCTGTTGAGATCTTGCCTTTCAGCCAAATCTGTGAAAACCTTGAAAATCTTTGACTTAGAAGAACAAACTCTTAAAGATAACTCTTTATTTTGCTACATAAATAGATAGCTGCCTATTAGACAAGCAGACTGAGTGGACAGGTATTCTGTAAAGATGAGTAAATTCAAGTCGTACTCTGATAATGCTGCACAAGACTTCTTCCCAAAGTCTGAATTACTCTAAGGACCAAGAGATGTGATTGTGAAACTGGTCCCACAGGTTTTACCAAGTTAAACAGAATTAACTGCCAACTGAAAACCCACGGGGTTGAGAAGATTGAAGAGCCTTCCTTGACAAGGTTTGGGAGAATTTAATCTAATGCTGCTGGCAGTGTGTCCAGTCAGCTTCTTGATCTTGGAGGAAGACTGAAAGCCAACCACTTAATTTTCTAAGTGCGTTCGATTTGGCTGATATTAAAGTCCTTCCTTAACCTCCTATTAGAAAAAGAAAAACATCCTTTGAGTCTTTGATAGGGACAGCTAATAGCTAAGGAAAAAAAAAAAAGAATCGCCAACTCATGTTTCTCAAATTTTCCTTTGAATTACCTTTGTTAATGCTAATGACTAGTTTGTTTTGGTTCAAGTGTTCAGAATTGACATAAGCCATTTGTGGTCATGGATAAATAAAAATTGACCATAGGTAGAGGGCATTTTACTCTCTCCTATAATCACCTCATAGGATCTTAAACAGCTATTGTTCAAACTAAAGACACAACAGGAACACATTCATGAATTTCCTGTTTTCCAGTATCTTAAAGTTCTCACACTTGCAAAACACCTCATGCCCAACTCCCAGCCCTCTCAGTCTCCTCCAGTCTCCCTCACACCCAGTCTCTCCTGCCTCTCTGGTAAGGAAGCTTTCCTGGAGCAGGGCAGGCAGAGGTCAACGCCTGAATTGTTGACCAAAGCTTGCTGCTCTCGTGAAGGTCCAGCAGATTACAACTAGAAATGGATTCAAGTCACTTCCTTGTTCAGGACGTTATGAAGTCAGTGACTCGTATGGCTAGAGGACCCTTGCAGAAGGGATAAGCTCACAAGTCAACGCCAACGAGAGAGGCCTCTGTTTCTAATACCCAGAATAATGCTGAGCCCTTTGAGTTTTTCCTGCCCCTGAAATGCCTGGTGAACATCAGGCTGAATCTGACCCCATGGTGACCTCCAGGCAGTGTTGAGACTCCTGGGCAATAAGAGATATGGCATTAAAGGGGCCCCTCAGGGATTTTATTAGCTCTGCTTCCAGATGAGGAGGAACCAACCATCAAAAAAGGATGGGGACTTTGCCCCGCCCCGCCCCCCCCCCCCCCCCAGCCACCAAGATGTTAAAGCAAAACCAGTGTTTAAAAGAAAAATTACGGTGAAAAGAAGAAACTCTCCTTTACGCCAAAGAGAAGTGATTGTGAAGCAAAGGTAAAGGGAGAAATACAAATGAATTGTATTAGAATCTTCCTGGGTCCATATCCTTACTGATCTATAGATATTACAGAACATGGGACTATTGCCCATGTGATTGGGAGAGAGTAAAATGCCCTCTACCTATGGTCAATTGTCCATAAGGTATGAACCTCACACCCTTACCTCTCAAACTCTCTTTACACATACCATAATTTAAAATATGTACAAAAGCTAAAAAAAAAACCCCACAAAACTATCTTCACAATTTGTTGCAACTACTTAATCTGCAGGGAAACTAGGATTGGGGGATGGAGGAGTACTAAGTCATTGAGCCTAAAAAGAAGGCTCTAAAGAAGGCAAGCAATGAATGAGCAGACACTGAGAAAAAGGAAAGAAAATTTGGTAAAGGATATGGTTGGGACAGAAACCTGTTTATTGCCCGGGGGACAAAACTATGTCTTGTAATGCTGAGATATCGCTCCAACTAATGCAGAGGTCACAGAGCGCCCTCGCAGCTTGCATTTGGCCACAGGTTTTCTAAGGCGTGGAAAAATGAGGCGCACCAGACACAGGATGGAGAGTGTTACCTCCCACCTGGGTTTTGCATCTAATGTCCTCCCTGACCCTGCCAATACTATTCAAGTCAACCCAGGCCTCCTCTCTCTCCACAATTCATTTTGAAACAGAGGTAATTGAACAGCACCTTTCAGGTGAAAGTGTGAAAGCTGCCAGGTAGAAATAAACAATGTGAAAGGCCTAGCCAAGACTCTCTTCAAGCCTTTAGTTTTTTAGTTTTTAAATGACCTTAGTAGATAAGACAAAGGCTTCTCCTCAAATAGTGTCAGTAATGGAGCAGGACCTGGGTTCTTCTTAGATCTGAAACCTCCCCCTGCATTTAAAATTGGCGAAAGTCACTTAGGTCTTCAGGCTTTCCCTCTGCCTCCCAGTTTTAAATTAAGCCCTACCCTTTGCATCTCCTGTCTTCTTCATCACAAGGGAAAGCACAGGGGTTAGGCAATGCCTCTACTCATTGGACCAACACCTCAAAATGCTATTCCAAACCCCAGCAGGCACAGCATAGCAGTAAGACACTTAGAGCACCAGGCTGGAGTGCTGGATACCAGCCCCAGACCTATGGAGTTTCCCCTGTACACCCCCTTCCTTCCCCATCACCAGCCCTCTCCCCAAGCGAGGGCTTGAGCCTTTCATTTTCCCTTCACGGTAAGTAATCTGACATCACTTCTATCTGCCTTCCGGCTGTTTTTACACCGGCCTTCACCCTGCCTCGCCCCCCTCCCCCCTTCCTTTCTTCAGCCATACTGAAGAAGCACAGACTATTTATTCTACTTTTGCTCCCAGAAATGGCTCAGGGATGGTGCTAGGAGGAAATCCTACAGCCATCCAGCCTCCTGCTGTAGACACCGTCTCAGGCTTTCTTCTGAGCTCCCAGTTCTGTAGGTTTCCCGTCCCTACTTTTCAGGTATTCAAAGCCTTGGGGGGCGGGGGGGGGGGGGGGAGAGGAGGGATGTGCCCCAGGCATCCCTAAAGTCATCAAAAAGGTGGCTTTGGGCATCCTTACCGTTCACATATTCGCATGCCGTTTGATGTAGCCTTTAATTTCAAAGCAAGGTCTCAAACACTCAAGTGGCTATGTTACTGTAAGAGCCAGGAATTGCAAATGCTCTTGCCTCAAAGACTCAGAAGTCCAGTCCCGGACAGGAAATAAAGTTCTAAGCGGCTTTGATGTGCTTCCTCCCCACGCAACTCCCCAGCGCGGTCATTCGTCTCCGCCGCGGAGAGACCACCTTGCCCGGATTTATCCAAACGCATCACACGTGGGAGCCAAGTGGCAGATTTAATAATCCAATGAGTTCCCGGGCCCCACCAAATTAGTTACCGCTGGCTTAAGCTCAGCTGGGATCCCCGGGTATTTTGTGAGTACGAAAAGCAGAGTTGTACATAAACGGGGGGAAACGGGTGGGAAGGGACAGGGGACCCAGACCGCGGAGAGTAAAAACGCCTCGGCGGGTGGTGAGAGCTTGTTTCTTTTTTAAGCCACTCGTTTCAGACTGAAACATCAAGCCAGTTCAGGTCATTTCCTGAGTAACACTACAAGTTAAAACAAGATCCAGAAAATCTATTAATCTTTAATTGCGCTGTCTCCAGACAGGGAGTGCGAGGCGGGTGCGGTACCGGGCTGGGGGGGATTAAGAAAGGGGGGAGGGGGGTCAAAAAGCCACTCTGCCTAGGAAACCAGAGCTCTCGACCTCAGCTGTTTCTTACCTCGCTCAGCTCGGCCGAGGAGTCGTTTCCGTATTTCAAGGCAACTCCAGAATTCATGTCTGCACTTTTCAGAGCCGAGCTCCTCCTCCAGGTCTCGCAGCTGTGAGTTAGGCTTCACAGGCTCGCTATCCACTGCTTGGTCCCTTCTGGCAGATTCTAGTCTAGACAGCCATTTTCACCCAGGACAGCGGTGCAGTCCTAACGAAGGATGCCAACACTCCGAAGAGGAGCAGAGCCGGCTCGCGACTCACGGGCGAGGCATTGCTGCAGGAGGCTGGGTGGCGTGGCGCGCTCGCAGCTGCTGCAGCGGCCGAGCCGGCGCGGGGACCCGCCCGCGCGCGCCCACCGCCGGGTCCCGGGGCAGTGCCACCCTCGGCGCCGCTCACCACTCCTGCGGCGTCTCGCCGACCCCCATGACCAGGCTGGAGGCACCTCCCAGCAAGATCCTGCACCCTAGAGGGCTTCGTCGAGCTCCAGAACAAACCCGGGCGGCGGGGCGAGGAAGATCCGCTCCCCGGGCTCCTGGGAAGGAAAGAAAGCTAAAGAGAGCCCGAGCGGAGCTGCGCTTCACGCCGAAGTTTCCCGTTTGAATCGGCTGGAGTTGTAAGTGGTTTCTGATTGAACACAGCTGTCTAGCTGCTGGCTACGGGGCGCGCGGAGGAGGCGGGGCCAGAAAGAGAAAAGCGGGGGCGCGGGGGGCGGGGGGAGCCCGCAGGAGGCAGAGCTGAGACGTGCAGGGAAGAGCTCTCTAGGACCCAAGTGATTCCAGGACCCAAGTCCAGGAGGAAGAAGAGAAACAGGAAAAGACACCTGAGTAATTGTGCAGAAAAAAACAAAAACAAAAACCAACACCTTCCCTCCTGGAAGCCACTTGCCACGATTCAATAACGTCAGGACAAATCTGAACACTGTACATCAGGCCACGCTGTGCGCTTCTCACGGTACATTAAGATTTTACAAGAGTGTAGGGCGGGTATTTTCCCTGATCAGTCTAAAGTCAACACCGAGGGTGTAAATTCACTGTCAAACTCCCTCTGTCGCTGCGGGCAGATTACACTTTCTGCATGCCCATAATAAAGATCAAGATGCCCCATCCCTTGAAAGATGTAAGACAGGCTCAAATAACCTTTCGTCCCCAACGCCCAGACCTTCCTTAAATATATTACATTCCCATCCTCTTCAACTCCCAGACCTTCCTTTAAAATCTTACTGCGCATCTGAGCAGAGCTAGGTTTGTATTTCTGGGGCTTGGAGTATGAATCAGGAAAGATTTAAGGGCTGTTATATCCAGTGAACTCCTGGAGTCAGAGCTTCCCTTCAGCCTGGAGTTAAAAACAAGGCGGGGAGGGGATTTTCTCTCCATAAAGGTTAAAGTCCCACTGAACTTGAGATGCACTGGAACGTGTCTGATCCTTTAAAACAGCAGGTCTTCGGCATTAACCGTCTCTTTCTACACAATGGGAACAAACTGTCTCCAACCCCAATGACAGACCTTGGCATTTCCTGAAGCCTTCTATGAAAAAGCCATTGTATTGTACATTTGCAAGGTCTTTTTTTTCTTTCTTTCCCTAAATAGAATGTTTACTTTGCTTTGTAAGAAAGAGCAAAGAGTTTTGCATTTGCATATATCTGCTTGCCCATCTGCCTTCCTGTTGAGTTCATTCATTGACTTCAGACACTACTGGGATGAAGAAGAGTTTGCTGCTTCTTTGGAGCCCTGAATCCTACCTTCTGGGGCACTGCCAGACTATAGCACATTGGGAGAAATTCTTTTGCATGGGGGGAGGGGGGTGGTGTTGGGAAGCCGCATTATTTATTTATTCATTCAAACTTGTTGAGAACTGATTGTGTGCTTGAAGGTGGAGATGGTGAAAGAGTATCTACATATGTAAAAGGCTAATAGGCAAAGTGTCCCTATGGGAGTTTGACCGGGAGTTCTATCACTCTCATGATGTGCACTGACCAACAGGGGGCGGTGTGGAATGAAAGCCCTGGCCAGCAGCTGGAAGGCCCCGATTGGCCCTGATCGCTGGCCAGGACTAGGGACCCTACCCGTGCACGAATTTTGTGCACCAGGCCTCTAGTAAAGATATAAATAAGATCCAAGCACTAACCTTGTCCATAGTGCTTATAGTCTCATAAAACTTACCGTATTTTTCCATTTATAAGACACCCCCATGTATAAGATGCCCCCCACTTTTCCAACCCCAAATTAAGAAATCAATATTTTAAACATTTTGCTGGTTTTCCTCTTAAGTTCTTCTTTTTTGGCATCTTAAGGAGTTGTTCTTCCTGTTTTCTCCACTGTCTGATTATACACTCTGTGGGAGGAGGTCCAAATTGTCTCTCTGCAGCTCTATTTCCATGCTCATTTGCATAGCTGATTACATTCAATTTGAATTTTGCAGAGTAAGACAATTCCTTACCAGTATTTACCTTTTTATTTTTTGACATCTTTATGGGCTCAGAATGCTCTCGTCCCTGTTGCATCTGCACAGTCTCCAACTCCACCTCCAATTACGGCATCAGCTCACATCAGTAATAGTAAGGCTCATGATTGGAGGAAGCCTGTTTGACAAGGTATGGGCAACTATGTACTCTTGCGGCTCCCTCCTTAGCTGACTTCCGTGTATAAGACACTCCTCAATTTTCAGTCTGATGATTTTAGAAAAAAATAGCATCTTATACACGGAAAAATATGGTAAATAAAGGCCTGTCTGTTGTGGTAAATGGTTAGAGTGTCAGCCCTTGTGCTGAAGGGTTGCAGGTTCAATTCTGGCCCCAGTCGGGTGAGTGTCGGAAGCAACTGATCAATGTATCTCTGTTTCTCTCTCTCTCTCTCTCTCTCTCTCTCTCTCTCTCTCTCTCTCACCCTTCTTCCCTCTTCCCTCCCTCCCTTCCATTCTCTTAAAAAAAAATCAATGGAAAAAATATCCTCCAGTTGAGGATTAACACATATACACACACAAAAGTAAATAAAAATGAAAATTCTAGACAGAAAATGAAACTTGCTATAAATGCAGTACAAATGAAGACCTACTGCAGTTCAGAAAAGGAAGTAGGATTTTTGGCTGAGCTGGGCTAGAGAAGAGTCTGTAAAGGAGTCTTAGGAGAGGCAGCATGTGAGATGATCTTTGAAGAATGGCTCAACCCAGCAGAAATGGGGAGTAAGAACAAGGTATACCCGCCAGTGGGACCCCTGTGAGGGAAAGTGTGGGTGGAGACTGGAATGTGCAGAGCATGTGTGGAGACATTCCTTTCTGGGATGGAACCTGGATGCGATGAGTGAGTTGAAGCCAGATCACGCACAGTTTTGAGTGTGAGGCTGAAGAAATGGGACATCTGATAAGCAATGGAGAGCCACTGAATATTTTTGAGCACAGAAATAACAGGATCAGAACTGTGCTTTCATACATTCCAGAGAATCTGTATCACACTCATGAGTAACTAACATGAATTCAAATAGACTAGTGCTGAGTGTTTAAAAAAAACATATTTTAAAAGAAAGTAGTTAAGGTGTATTAAGAAACATTTTCATTCTAGATGGCCACTAAAACCAAGCAGATGACTTAATCTTATAGTCAACAAAAAGAAAAGTGATCTCTTCCAAAAGTGGAGGAAAAACTGGCAATGTTAAATTATTAAAAAGCAATATGTCTGTAGATTTTGCTTTATGGGCAATATAAGGCATTTTAAAGAGTAATGTTAACAATAAGAAATTTTCTTCTTAAACAATAACTTTAATACTCAACCACCACAAAAGATGCAATTCCACTACCATCTGGCAGCAGTAAATATGGTAAATTGAAAGTGGGAAATGGACATGCCGAGTGGACTATACACCAACATACTAGCAAGAGGCTACAAGGGCCTGATTTAAGTTGGGGCAATGGGAATGGACAGGAGGGAGCAGAAGCTATAAAAAGAGAGTAGACAGAAATTGTGTGGAAAAAGAACTTAAAAATGACTTGTAGATCTAGAACTTGTTTGAACAGGATTTTGGGCAATGTCCTAAAAAAGCGGGGGGTGGGGGTTGGGGGGAGGAAAGGGGAGAATAGCAGGGAGGAAATGGGTATTCCAGAGAATAACTAGGTTAAGAAGGAAACTATGTTTGGGATATCACAAGTTGAAGGTGGCATCTAGATATTGGGCCAGGTCAGAAACTCACCAGCAAGGGAGAACAAGACCCTCACCCTCAGGGCAACCTACTCTTCCCCAGCATAGTGCTGGTCATTCGGTTTGCACGCCTGATCTTTCATGTTGTTTAGGCCGTTTAGACCCCCTGAAATTCCTCTCTAAAGATAACATCTAGGCCTCCGTTATATTTCAGCTCCAAGCCCAGAGAAGCAGCAAGATCAGACATGGCTGCCTCAGAACCAGCTACATTGACTACTGACTCCCTGCCCTGGCACTGAGCAATCAGTGGAGACCACTACCTTGAAAAAGCACACCTGGAGAGCTTATGGATATTCCATTAAGGACCTCCCCTGAAAACTCCCCTAAGATTTCCACCTGAGAGAGATACATCACTCAGGACAAAGGACACAGTGCGCACTCTCCCTCCAAGGAGCATGCCTTTGCCATTCCCTTCCTCTCCTTCTCCCACAGGCACATATCCCCCAACCTCTAAGGGACCCCATGAGATTTGCAATCAGGGGAGCAATGGGCAGTGGCAGCTCCTCCCAGGCTAACCCCCTGAACCTGTCTCCAAGGCCCTGACTTCTCAGTGAGGCAGAGCAGCCCAGCCTAGACTTTTCTGTTGCTTCTTCTATGCCCTTCCTTGTTTCACTGTTCTAAGTACATTTTCCTGTCAGCATGGGCCCAATACCCTTTGGCTCAGTGCTGTATATATAGCTCTTTCCTTTGGATATTTCCACCCCCTAACCCTTTTTCCTTAAATAAATTCAAATTTTCTTTAATCACCATCTGAGATGGCTATTTAGCCTGCTTGCCACCACTAATTTTAACCTTTCCGAGATGTTCAGCAGAAAGGTTAAAATGGAGCTATAGAGATAAGTCAGGGTTGAGATAGAGATGGAGTGGAGGCTTGAGGTTACCCCTATTAGAATAGTAAATGAGCCCAGCTGGTGTGGCTTAGCAGTTGAGCGTAGACCCAAGAACTAAGAGGTCAACCATTGGATTCACAGTGGGGGATGTGCAGGAGGCAGCTGATTGATGATGTTCTTCTCTCACTGGTGTTTCTATTTCTCTGTCCCTCTGCCTTCCTCTCTCTCTCTTAAAAAAATCAATAAAAACATATTTTAAACAAAGAATAATAAATGAAACGGAAATGAGGGAAAGATTACCAAGGAGGACAGGATAAAGAAAAGAGAAGTGGTCTGAAGACATTACCTTAAGGAAAGTCTTTTCCATGGAGGCAAAAAAATAAAAGAGGAAATGGTGGGGAAAGCCACTTGCAGAAATGGGAAGATAACCAGGAGAACTCTGAGTCTGGGAGTCTAAAGGAGATGTTGTCAAGACAGAAGGGGCTATATGCTATATATGCTATAGAGTGGGCTTGGCAAGGAGAAGAAGCCTGAAGACTGATAAAAGTCCGTTTCAAAGACATTACTGTCCTTCAAAGGTACATTTCTACAAAGCTGAGGAGACAGAACCCAGATTGCTACAAGGAATAATGAAGAACTGGGGGGATAACTGTGCACTACACTTTTTTTAAAAAAAATATTTTATTGATTTTTTTACAGAGAGGAAGGGAGAGGGATAGAGAGTTAGAAACATCGATGAGAGAGAAGCATCGATCAGCTGCCTCCTGCACACCCCCTACTGGGGATGTGCCTGCAACCAAGGTACATGCCCTTGACTGGAATCGAACCTGGGACTCTTCAGTCCCCAGGCCGATGCTCTATCCAATGAGCCAAACTGGCTAGGGTTGCACTACACTTTTCATAAATTTGATGGTGACAGGAAATCAGGAGATGGGATAGTTTCTTAGAGTAGGTAAGCAATGTTGAGTAGAGAGTAGAATAGGCATATTTGTAGTCTGTGGCTAAGGGAAACCCTGGAGACCCAGAGAGAGAAGGAAGATGGAACAAAGTTCCTGAAAAGGGAAGGAAGGAAAGGACCAAGGACAAAACCTATGAGATTAGGTTTGCCATGGGCTTGGAGAAGAGGAGGATTCCAATGCACCTTCTAGGAGACCAGCAACAGTTGGGACAGCTGTATAACTTATAGAGTAGTCAAAAGAAGGCCTCATACACAATAACTAACAGCACTTATTTGGAAAGTTATCATATGTCCTCTGTGTGATGGGGGGGGGGGGGAGAATAAAGCCTGATGATAATTTATAATCAAATGTCAACTTAAGGCAAGGAAGACCATAAATTGTCTGTCACTGCAAGGAGAATAGAATACTGGTGATCCCCACCCCTGACACTATTCAAGCATAGGTTAAAGGCTGGTAGGACACACCGAAAACCAGTGGCATGTAGAATTTCATGCAACAAGGGGGAGTCCAAATCAGTTGTCTTCTAACCTAAGATTCCATGAAATTAAGAGTTGTTTTTGTTTTGTTTTGTTTTTGCTATAACTTAAATATCTTGTGATTTTTTTTAACCTCTTAGTCTGGGAATCTCTACTATCAAGAAATCTAAGATATTACTATAGACAAGAATGCAATGGAGTCAATATCCTACGGAGTTCCTCAGCATGTCATCTGAGCACACTAAAGGGGAATGAAGACTCAAGTGCAATTCCAGTATAATAAGAAAAAGGTCTCAAAATTAGCACTCACCATAGTTTACCAAGTATGTATGCCTCAAATCCCTTCACAGTGTGGCTGCCTCAGCACGATCCCTTCAGAAGAGCTTCTCCAAGTTCTCCTTCTGCAAAGTGTAAGCTCCTATTCAGAAGTATGGGCAGGAAGTGGCAGGGGAATTTATCCAGATCAGGGTGCAGGTCTGGGAGAAGGAGGAAAACCTCTTTTCACCTGCAATATCCTGAGGCCTGGGTCCCCCTCCTTCCTGGGCCTTATTTTTTCTACAAGCTAATCTCTTCTTTACTCTGGTCTCTGGGAAAAGAGGAAGCAGTGAGCAGTAGTCCTGGGAAAGCAGTTGCTGTTTGGATGAGTGGATGGGTCTGTGTACCAATCGCATGCTGTAGGTGCCCTGGCATTGCCTTTCTGCTACCAGTGCCAGTCTGGTCCTCTATGTGTACCTGCTGACCTCTGTGATATCTATATAGCATGGATTCTATACTGGGTTTCTCTGTATCCTCTACTGGCAATAAACATCTTGGGCAAAGATCCTGACCTCCAGAATTAAGGAAATTGACTGAATCTTTGGGACTGGCTGACCTAAGCCCTCTGTCTTTACTCCTAGGGTATCCAAACCACCCTGGTCTGCCACAGGAGTCCACTGTGCTGATTCAGGCTTGTCCTCCTGCAGCTCACACAAGGACCCAAGCTCCAAAGTTGCCCCCTTCCACCTTGACTCTCTTAAACTGGACAAAACATTGAGACTCTAGGAAGAGAACAGTCTACTTAAGCTAATTCACACAAAGGTGAAAAATACCCATAACCTTCTCAAAGGAGCCTGGCGTATTTGCATTGTAAAAAAGAGAGTGCTTTGAAATAATGTTAAGTTGGTGGGATTTCCTGAAGAAGAAAATGACTTTTCAGGGGAAAGGAGGATTTCAAAATGCAGAGACAGCAGGAAGTCCTAGGCCTCTAAGTCCTTGAGGGCCATAAAAGTCAGGGAGCTCTCAAAGTATATACTCAGAAGAATTTCCTGCCCTAAATCTCTAAGCCCACCCTCTTGAGTCTAGAAATGTTTTCCCTATGCCAACTCCTGTGGCCCTCTGTTCAACCACCAAACCAGCTCTTCTCTCAATGGCCTGCCCATCACAAATATCATTTGCTCCAGGTACCACAACATAAAGAATTTGGGCAGCATTGCACTAGATGATCTTTGTCTTGGTCTCTAATGTTCTCAGAGAACAACATTAAAAACTGGAAGAAATCCTGCAATCACCTAGCTAATCCCTGCATCCCATTTATATAGGTGACCATATGTAGGGTCAGCAAGTTTATAGCATTCGTTCAAAAAAAGAAAAGCACTCAGTGTGCAGTTGTTGTGTTGTGCCTTAGGATTCAGTGGTGTGTGGGCAAAAATCCTTGCTTTCCAGAGCCAGCATGCTTGGTGGGAAATGATCAATAAACAAACAAGGAAGATAGTTACAGCTTGTGATGGTGCTATGAAAGGATTAAGTAGGAGCTGTGATGAGGGAGAGCAGGCTCCTTAAGTGAAGCTGTCAGAGAAGGCCTTGAGAAGATAACATTGCAGCTTGAAGGTCAAGAAGAAGCCTACTAGGCACTTCTCTGAGCAAGGACAAAATCTTGGGGCAGAAAAGGGCTTTACTTTTCCAATAAATTTCAATAAACTTCAAGTTTTATATTTAGTTTAAATTTTAATTAATAGGTAGAGAATGTGATGGAGCATGGTGAAAAAGATGATGGAGGAGCCAGACTATGCGGTGGGTGTGTAGGTCATAGATTTTATTCTTTGTGCATGGAGGTGCCACAAGCAAGATAGAGACACAATCCAGTTTATGTTTTTAAAAGGCAAATCTATTCCTATACAAACTTTACCACTAGGAAATGTAAAAAGTAGACAAAAGGAAGTCCCTTCTTTATAGAAGTATTCTTGTGAATAAATGAAGATGGATAGAAGATCCCTATTATGCAACTGCTAATGAATTAATGGATTTAGATATAAAGCACAATGGATACTAATATTATAAAAAAAGACATACAACCAAACATATGACTTCTGATAGAAGAATACAATACCACCTATGAAGCCATCCTAGCAGTTGTTAACATGAAAGAACACGTAACATTACAGAGATGCAATCAGCAAAACCCAGACTATAACTTTACAGGACAAGCAGTCTGGTTTCTTCAACAAATCAATTGCAAGGAGGGGGAAAAGCAAGTGAACAGTGAGATATTAATGGAAGAGGAATCCTACAGACATATCAATCAATATGTGGTCCTTATTAGGACCTTAATTCAAACAACGTGACTATAAAAAAATCATGATATTTAAGAGATATTCAGAAATATACGTTTTGGATGTCTGATGATATTGAAACTTACTAATTTTTAAGATGTGTTAATGGCCTTGTAGTTATACTTTAAAAGAGTCTTTACCTTTTATAGATCATATGTTGAAATATTTAGGACTAAAATGATATAATATATGGAATTTGTGTCAAAATACTAGAGGAGGCAAGAAAATAGATGTGGTTCTCAATGAATTGATAACTATTAAAGTTGGGTGACAGATATATGGGAATTCATGCTACTCTGTCCATTTGTATATATTTGAAGATCTTCATAATAAGAAATAACAAAATAGAATAATTTTGCTTTTATGTAAAGAGTGGGTGGTAGTGCCATACAAGTAAAGCAGGGAATCCTGTTAATGGTTATAGCAGTTATCTGGTAAGAGAATGCCTATGGCCTGAAACTCAGTGAAATAAATTAATGATGAGAAATGGATGAACTTGAAACATATTTAGATAAAAGTGACCAGGACTTGGTGAATGATTGGATGCAGGTAATAAGACTAAGAGAGGAATCAGAATGACTACCAGTTTGGGGGTTGAACAACTGGCTGTGGGGAAGGACTGGGTTTGGGAGAATCAAGAGTTCCATTTCAGACGCATTAAATTGGAGGTTCCTATTTGATATCTAAGAGGATGTCAATAGCAGCTGGATAAATGAGTTCTGGATTCAGGGGAGAGTCAGGCTAGACATATAGATTTGGAAGTCCTCAGCATACAGGTTATAGTTGATGTTGAAAGCCACAAGCACACATGAGGCCACCTAGGGAGAGAGTGAGTTCAAAAAAAGAAGCAGTACCAAGACTTACCACTGAGAGGGTCAGATATTTCCAGGTTGGGGAGAGGAAAAGAATCAGCAAGGGAGGTCAAGGAAAAGCATTCACTGTCCTGTGGTTAGAGTGTTGGCCTGCACACAGAACAGTCACGGGTTCAATTCACCATCAGGGGCACATACATGGGTTGCGGGTTTTCTTTCCACCCCCAGTTGGGGTTCATGTGGGAAGCAACCAGTCCATCTGTCTCTCTCACATTGATGTTTCTCTATCACTCTCCCCTCTTCCCCTCTCTTCAAAGCAAAGGGAAAAACATCCTCATGTGAGGATTAACAAAGAAGGAAGAGGAGGAAGAGAAGGAGAAGGAGGAGGAAGAGGAGAAGGACGAGCAGCAGTAGCAGCAGTATTCACTGAGGAAGAGAAAAAATGAAGATATGACATCACAGATGCCAAGAGGTGAGTATTTCAAGGACACTAGCCATCTATGTGGAATGCTGCTGAGAGTTTGAAAAGTTGGCAACAAAGTAATGTCCTTCAGTTATGGAGATGACCTTGAGAGGAGCAAGTTCATTAAATGATGGTGATGGATAGATTAGTGTAGATTAAATAGTAGCTCGAGAGTGAAAAAACTGAGAGAGAACATGGAGATTACTTTAGAGAAGCATGTTGCCCCGAACCTCACTACTGCTGAACTATCCGATGAGATCTTAAACCAAAGTCCAATGTCTATTTCTGAGCTTTTCTCGTTTCTGAGCCCTTTCAGTCAAGTTATCTTGGAGTCCCTTAGCTGGGACTAGAGACTCTAGTTGTTAGCATAGTGGATCCCCCCTAAACTGATAACTGAAGTCCGTTCCATTATTCTGGGACTTTACCTTATTGTTTATGAAACTGGATACATTGCTTTTAGATCCAATGACTTAGTGCTGTAAAATAGATGGAATACAGAAGATAATTTGGTTAGTCTGTGTTTAAAATTTGCTAAGAAAGAAAATGTTTGAAAACTATTTCCAGATTAAATCTCACACATAGAACAAACAAAAATCTAGCCTTCTCCAACTGCAAATATGACTCAAGCATTAAGAAAGCACCCCTGTGGTGTTTGTCTCATTAATCACATTCATGAACTGCCTCACACACAGCCTAGTCATTCTAATAACATAAAATCATTTGGCGTCAATGCCCCTGACATTATCAGTGGGGAATTCCTAGTTGAGATTCACTAACTTATGCAAGCATCACATGATGCTTCAAAAACCTCTTGGTGGTCTGATAAGATATTTTGGAGCCTGAAACTTAGTATCTGTGTTGTCTTGTCTTAAATATTCAGAGTCTCTTTGAAAAATCTTTACTCATTTGTTCTCCAAATTTCTTTAAACTATATCAAATTATCTTTGGAAATGAAAAGTAATCAGTGGAGATTAAGGATTTGGAAATCTAAGGGAGTTTTAAAAAATAAGTATTAGATCCTCCCAGGAGTACTTGTGTATAGTCAATCTCCTAGAAAGGAAAAAGAAAAATATACATTAAATAGATGCATGAAAATAGATATAGTAAAATTTGAAAAACATGTTTCAATTAAATGAATTCCAAATGCCTGCCACTGCTATTTCTGGAGCTCCTTGGGGGGCTAAAACAGCACCATTCCACTGCTGTCTTTAGCTAGAAAATGTTGCAACAGCTGACCAAAAGGAGCAGAGAAATAATTAATATACTATAATGCCTCATAAACCCAATGACAAAGGAGGCAGTTCACCTGACATTGTACCAAGCTGACAGGAGAAGACAGAAGGTCTGAGGCACAGGCTGGGGAAAGCCATCAACCTAGGCTTTGAGTCCACCAAGTACCAGTGTACAATTCAGTTTTTAGTACCTTCACAGACTTATGCAATCATCAAGGAAGAAGTAAATCTATCTCTATTTGTAGATGATATCACCCCTGGAGAAAAGAGGTCTTATTTCTCCTTCTTCTCCTTTTTTAAAAAATTTGATTTTAGAGAAAGAGGGAGAGGGAGAGGGAGAGGGAGAGAGAGATATATATATTTGTTATTCTACTTATTTATGCATTCATTGGTTAATTCTTGTATGTTGCCCTGATCGGGGATTGAATTCACAACCTTGGTCATTGGGACAATGCGCTAACCAACTGAGCTACCAGGCTAGGGCAAAGTCTTATTTCTTAAGTGAAGACAGAATCAAGGAATGAATTTCTTTATTAAAGATACCCAATTACATGGTTCAATTAAGCTATCATCATACTCTTATAGAATTTCTTACAGCTTTTGAAATAGCACCCCTCAACTCCATTACCACTCTCTAAATATGAAGCCCACTAACGTTCCACATTCTCAACAATGCCAATCCCTCTTCCCTTCCCTTCCCTTCCCTCCCCTCCCCTCCCCTCCCCTCCCCTCCCCTTCCCTTCCCTTTCCTTAATTGTATTTCACACTCATTGATTGTTTTAGAATTTCATGTTCTAGAACCAATCAGGCTCCAAATTTTGGCTTATTTTCCCAGTTATGAGGAACATGGCTATTTAAAAGCACTATCAGCCTCTTGTTGGTCCTTCAGAGCCTGTTATCTGCAAGTTATCACACATGCAAAAGCTTGCACAGACTGTTGTCCAAACTAATAAAAACTACCCTAATTTTTCTCTCATATCCAAAATATTAAGGTTTTGCCCCCTTTTTCACATTGATCATGTTTAATCCTTTTCATTTGAAATTATTTTTCAAACACCTTCCATTACTGGCACCAATGACACAGAGGGAAATGTATCACATGGGAAATAAAAGCAAATCTTAAGCTGTACAGAGTGTATTAAGAGATGCTTAGGAGTATTAAGCATATTCTTCGTATGCTGAATTCAGTTATTTATCTGGTGGGTGCTTGACAACTTATAGGTATTAGGATAAGCCTTATGAAGTTGACATTTCATGGAACATAAATAGTAAATAGCATTAATGTTAAATAGTTCAACTTAATACTAAGTTCTGTGTCACAAAGCTGGTTTAGAAAAGTCAAGGTTGAATTGTTATGTAAATAATCTTAATAGCATTCAGAGAGGTCAAATGTTCTTTATATGACCTTTTTAAAAAAACGACAGCAGATTGGGGTGATTAAATTATTTCTCGTTGTAAAGAGCCCAGGCAGTACTGGACACAAAGTAGACTCTCAAGAGATGCTTCTTCTAATAAGTAGGAGAATCCACTTATGTTAGTCATATTCACAACTGAAAGACTATAAAGATAACTTGAGAATATTACTTAAAATCCTTTACAGTGTTGCTAACTGAATTAATAATAACAAATGACAAGAACAAAGGGAAAAAAAAATTTATAGGCTTCATTGCTAGCAAAGGCAACTACCTATTCTTGTTGTAAATGAACTCTCCTAAGAGTTGAATATTCTTCTAGAGCTCACTTATATTTCTGTCATGATCCAATAAGTTCCAAGAATGAGAGAAACTATATTTCACATAGCCTACATGAGCCCTGGCACATCTAATCTGCAATCGCCACTTTTAATTTACATCTGAAAAATGAATGAATGAGCAACTACAGGGATATAAAAGGCAGGGTCACATAAACACAGTGCATAATTCTATTGCACCTGATGCTCAACTCTGAACAAATACACTCCATTATTTGTTCTGGCTTTGTATCAAAAGGGGTAAAATGAGTTGCTCTTCTACCTCATGGTAGACAAGTAGAATCTGTCAAATAACATAGCATTCAGCCCAACCTACTTGCTTGATCATATATATGTAACCAAGTTTTTACTTTAATGGCATTCCTTTTTAATTTAAGCAAAGCAAAATGGAAATAACACTGCTTTAGATGCAAAAGTATGGTGAAAATGTCTTTTCTGATAAAGCTATTTTAATGAAAGAAACTCTGTGAGGTTTCCTGATTCCTGCTCAGTATTTAACCACCCAAATTAGATTCACTTCACTGGCTGTCTTCATCAGATTTTACAAAACTGGGAACTATACAAAGAAATAAAAAGTGAGGGTTTTCCTTAAAGTAGGATGCTGAGTTTTGAACACATTCAGATTAAGTGAAGAAACTTGATTAAACCAACAATTCAAGATAATGATGAAATGAATGCTGGAACTCAGCTGCCTGGCACGATTTATCATATGAATTAAATTTTCTGTTAGCTAACCCACTTAAAAAAAACTGTATTCAAACATCTCCCTTCAGGGAATTGGCCATATGTGGAATTAACAGACTCTTGGGTCCACAGGAGGCTTGCCTTGCAATTTCTGGGTTTGTTGGAAAAGTGAGTTTATTGCATTATATTAAAATGGGCACTGGGAGATTTATTGGAACATCTGACATTCTAATGGGCATGTCTATTTAATCAAATGTGCCACCATACGAATATATACAGGTGCAGCAGCAGTTGTCTTCGTGAGTGATAATAGCAAACAGGGATGTGTATGGCCAGATGCTAAAGAAGGCGCTTCAAATAAGGAGGCGAGCGCATGTGGCGATGATAGGGAAAGAGCTGTCATGATGTGCGACGTGGATCTTTCTAAGTGTGTTCACAACCCTGTAGCAAAATGTTTTCCATAAAACTTTCATTCCACAAATAGAATTAAAAAATGGGGTGGTAGCACATGGCCATGTAAATTGTAAATGCAATCCACATGTCCTCAGCAATGCCAGGGTGGATGGGCTGGTGAAGATGCAAATGGGGAAAGGTACAGGAGTAAGTTGGCTACCTCACAACGCCCAGATGGCCCAGAAGTTCTGGATCAATTTTGTGAATATCAAAAGGAAAAATATGATCAGAATATAATTTCAGCTCTCATAGTCACAGCATTACAGACTTAAGATTTTATCTAGCTTAGATATCACAAGATGCATCGGGAGATTTCAGTGCTTTACACATCATATACGAAGGACAAATGGGAGGCAAACCAATTATAAAGAGGTGGCGGCCAGATAATTTCCAATTATTGATACCACACTGTAGGGAGATGGCTCAAGATGGATTTGCTAAGGAAATTATGTGATGAAGTCTTAAAGAGTTTAGTTAGCTGGAAAGGAGTTTCATTTTGAGCATAGTTACCCCTCAGTAACTGAGTGGGATTGGTTCCAAGATCCTATGGATACCAAAATTGAAGGATGCTCAAGTCCCTTACATAAAGTGGTGCGGTATTTGCATACAACCTATGCAATCCTCCCTTATACTTTAAATCATCTCTAGATTACCTAGAACACCTAATACAATGTAAATGCTATGCAAATAGTTGTTATACTATATTGTTTAGGGAATAATGGCAAGAAAAATATTCTGTACATGTTCAGTTCAGACACAACCATGGTAGGCCTAACTACACAGTACACGTCAGCAACAGTGTAATATTTCCCCCCGGAATATTTTCCACCTGTGGTTGATTGAATCTGTGGATGTGAAGGGCTGACTTTACATTTATTGTTTAAAGCACT